CAATGATATATACAATGGGTTAATTTTGAGGGCGTTACAAATCATCCCATAAAAACAAATTGAATTAATGATTGGGATCCATTCCACTAATGTAAAGATGATGATAAGATAAACAAATTTACTTATCACACTATTACTCGTTTGTAAATGGGCATTGGATGTGAAAAAAAAAAAATTAATATAACGGAGATATCATATTAAAAAAAAATTGATCATATCATTGAATTTTTATTTTGTGGATGATGCAGCCATTTTATTGTTCTTGGTTACATTATTTTATCAAGAGTTGTGCCTTGTTTGGGAATTCAAACTCAAATTTGGAAGAATTATTAAATACTCTGTTATCCTCAAATGCTGTACAATTCTATGAACCAAACATCTTTGAGGAAAACAAAAAAGAATAATGAAATTGTGAGTTAACATAGCTGAAAAACAACAAAGGAATTGATGACTTGTTTCCTTCTGTTTGAGTTGATTTTTTTGCTAGATGTGCTGTTTCACATTTTTACATCAGATAAAATTGTTACAAAATCTAAATCTTTAATATCAAACACAAAAATTAACAATTTTTATACTGGAATGCAATATTTCAAATAAGATAAATTAGAAATCAAGAAATTTATTGAAATTAATGTATCAAATCTAAAAACTGAGAGCGAAGACTCACTGTCTCGAGGATAAGAACTGAACCGAAAATTCACTGATACAATGATGCTTCCTCGACAATGTTGAAATTTCCTGTTAAAAATAAAATAAAAATTGTCGAAATTTCGGAGGGAGGGTAACACCATAATAATTGAATCTCATTCTCCAAGCCAAGTCTGGCAATGGTAAGGAAGATCGAAGGTGCCGTGATTGTGTGAAACCACATTTATAAATTGAAGGCACTTTATGGGTACTTTTTTCCGGGAAAAAATTCATACACACAATAACATGAATATAAACAACAACAACAATAACATCCAATCGAATATAATCAAATTTCACAATGAACTCCAAAAAACCACTAAAATTAACCAAACAACATTAGAAATCGCAATTATTCATATGTAGATACAATTAAAAAATAGACACAGCCCGTCAGAAAGAGAGAGAGAGGCAGGACACGATGAACTCAAAAAAAAAACCTAAAATTAACCAAACAGTATCAGAAATCGTAATAATAATAAAAACACACAGCCCAACAGAGAGAGAAGGGGAGAAGTAGAAACCGAGGACTACCTTGCGAGCCGAGTTCGAGAGGCAAAAATTGAGGACTGGAGATTTCCTCACTATCAAGTGAACATCTTCATTTGCTCTATGGCCAGATCTGCATGTCAAGTTTATGTTTAAAAGATGACTATCCAGTCTTCAATCATTAATTAAGAAAAATAAATAAACGAAGATTGGCACATTGATACATTTCTAGTATAACCATCATCAAAGTATCCAATTCAAATTAAAACCAAAATCAAAATTCGTTATAATCATAAGTATTTTGAAGTTCACCATTTATCATTTAGAAAGTCCAAACATAATTTTATGCCACAAAACAAAAACAAAAAAACAAAACAAATTTATACTATCTATCAAGTAAATCAACAACCAACATAAACGACAACCAACAAAACCAACTTTAATCTTCAGTAGCTTTCCCAGAACTATATGTTAATATTTTAAATAACAAATTTTTAAATCAACAACCAACAAAACCAACTTTAATCTTCAGTAGCTTTCCCAGAACTATATGTTAATATTTTAAATAACAAATTTTAATTGATCTCTAAGTGAGTTACTCGAAGCTTTCCCTGGTCTTAAGTTTACAATCTCCTTTTTAATGGATTTTCACCACCATATATGCACCATAAATACTATAATTTATTGATATCAAACACAGATATTAACAATTTTTATACTGGAATGCAATATTTCAAATAAGATAAATTAGAATTCAAGAAATTTATTGAAATCAATGTATCAAATCTAAAAATTGAGAGCGAAGGCTCACTGTCTTGAGGATAAGAACTGAACCGAAACTTCACTGATACAATGATGCTTCCTCGACAATGTTGAAATTTCTTGTTAAAAATAAAATAAGCCACTGTAATGTTTAAGTGAAGATAGAGCACATTGATACATTTCTAGTATAGCCATCAAAATATCCAATTCAAAAAATTAAATCTATTCAAGGTTGAAGAATATATGCCACTGTCAAAAGAAGCAAATAATACACTATCAACAATCCCTTGGTCTAATATATGAAGTTTGTCCCAGTGAAGGTAATACTGTAGGAGCTATAGAAGGCAAGGAATATATAAATTAAGATTAAAATATATATATAATTGTGACAGGGTGCTTTTGTGGGAGAAAATTGAAAGGATGTAGCATGCAAAACAATACAATATGAAGTGGGTTTAAGTCAATTGAAATGTTTAAGTTTGACATCAGAACTTAATTACAAAAAGGGTATGCAGTCACTGTCCCAAATTCGCATGTGCTTCCTTCCATGTAGGTTCAAACAGACACATACAATACACAACTCAAAATGTTCACTGTGATCTGATTCCCAATCCATAGTGTTATAGCATACATTGTGTTGAGTCTGTATTGGATGTTTAAAACTTATTTAAAAAAATAGTAATAATACTGTACAAAAGTATGAGTTAGTGATTTGTTTGATAATATAAATATTTTTCGTATTTATAATTAGTTACTTATTGATTGAGAAATAAAAAAAATAAAAAAAGTATGAATAGAGCTGTGGTCTATTTCAAAGTATTGAAGAATTTTACTTGAAGCTTTCCTTGAACACATTCTGTTTGAGCATGAAGTGGGTTTTGCATCAACAGCGGCAGTGGTGATGATGAGGTGGTGTGGTGGTGTTGCAACCATATAGACAAACCAGACATAGCCATAAACTGATCTACTGGAATGCAATAAACTGATCTACTGGAATGCAATAAACTGATCTACTGGAATGCAATAAACTGATCTACTGGAATGCAATAAACTGATCTACTGGAATGCAATAAACTGATCTACTGGAATGCAATAAACTGATCTACTGGAATGCAATAAACTGATCTACTGGAATGCAATAAACTGATCTACTGGAATGCAATAAACTGATCTACTGGAATGCAATAAACTGATCTACTGGAATGCAATAAACTGATCTACTGGAATGCAATAAACTGATCTACTGGAATGCAATAAACTGATCTACTGGAATGCAATAAACTGATCTACTGGAATGCAATAAACTGATCTACTGGAATGCAATAAACTGATCTACTGGAATGCAATAAAACAACCGGAACTGTGGAACCAGGACTGAGATTGATATTGAGAACCAGAACTGTGAATCGCTGAGATTGAGAACCAGAATAGGTGAGCTTGAGAACGAGAATCGGTGGAATCGGTGAGGTTCACGTCGAAACGTCACAAATGGCAATTGGAAAACAAAGGCTCAAACTGATGTAAAGCTGAAACGTGACACAATCCACGTCATGGAAAAAATAAAATGAAAAAAGTGTCAAATTCACGTCACAACCCACGTCAAAGAAAAAGAGTACTATTACCTTTTTTTGAAACGTGAATCTCACACACCCCTTCCCATAAATACATGCGGGTCTACAAACTCAAATTAACACTTTAATGGTAAAATAGTAAACAAACAACCCAAAGGACTAAACGGTTTAAAAGAAAACAATTAGGACCACATGATCTACAAGATGATAAAATAGGATTTACTGGTCAATTCCCCAAAAATCTATTATATATCTGTATATAAATCAAATAATAACAAAATTCCTTCCACAACATGAGGAGTTTATTCCCAAAACCAACCAACAATACAAAGTTAATGAAATAAAGAACATCTGTAGGTGTGAAATCAATAATCTTCTGCACTTTTCAGTGTTTAAATAAACATCTAAAAATTTTTCATATACAAAATTGTAGAAAGCCTATTGTTTTAAGCATTCGCTTTAAGTGAATAAATCTCCCCTCTGTAGAGATGAACCTTGAGAGCAGTCTCAAAATGCAAAGCTCAAAAATATTGTTTTTCCACTTCCCGTTGGTGCTGAAATGACCATATTTACATCGGATTGGAAACAGGTAGAAAAGCATTCACTCTGCAATGAGTTAAAGTACCTATACAACAAATACAAATGCATAAACAATACCAATTACACCATGTATAGCAACAGAACAATATTTTAGGCATTGTGGGTCAATTCCCTAAAGAAAATTTAGCATCATACATTGTTTGGGAGGCAAGGTGTAAAGAAAATTTAGTGTATGCCCGTACCTAAAAGCATGGTGTAAAGAAAACAAATGGGAAAAAGGATACAAATGGGAAAAAGATTAAAAAAAAAAAAAAAGGTTTGGGAGGCATCCATTGCCACTGGTGGCGACATCATTAGCAGGGAATGAAGGGGATGCGGAGGAGGCACATGTGAGGCGAACAGAGTCGGTGATGGCTTAGGGGTGAACAACAGTGTTGTAGGTGTAGGGAAAGAAGAGAAAGAGTCAATAGAAGATAGAAGAGGTATGGTGAGAAAGAAGAGAGAAATGGAAATAGTCCTGAAGGCATGGTGTTAATAACGTTAGGATTAGAATATAATTATAATCCCAACACTATTTAATGTAATTGTAAATTAAATTTGCTACAACTATAAACTGAACTAACTACACAAAAATTACCTAAATGAACATCTATAAATCTGGAAACAATGAATCAAATGTAAAAGTTAAAAAAACGAACTCATCAATAATGAAAATTCAGTGTTTGATTTTTCCTTGGACTTGCGGTACCTTATTCACAAATCACAATAATATGTTTGAATATAGATATTAGACTTTCTCAAGTGTACAAAGGTTCTAGAGTTCCAAATAGGAGACGTTGCACATGATAATACATATGTAAGCAAATGATCCTTCTAACTGAACCTTTTTATCAAGCATTACATATGCAACTAGTTGTGGCTAATACAAAACACATGGAAGGCCAACTCAATAAATAAAAATAAAAAATAAAAAAAACAAACACATGGAAGAAGAAATTATTTGAAAACCAACAATGAACAACAATGTGCTACCAAATAAACCTTGGAGTTTGAATCATATTTAAAATTTTTGAATGAAAAATGAAGAAACTTACGCACTTTAAAACACCATTGCACTGATGGAACACATACTTGGGTGTCCCAGTGGCATAAGTCTGTCTGATAAACCATCATCAGGAGAAGTGTTTTGCGCCCAGGCTTAGTTTCTCCCTGTATTCCAGTCAGTCAACTTCCTATCAGCGCTGTAATTTTGATTTCGAACATTATTCTTCATTTAGTTATCTAAAAAATAAAAAAGAGCTACATTGGTCTACATTCTCATCATAATGTGTAAATCAAAGAGCTAGGAAACAAAATTAATGTAGCAGAGGCAGAAACGGGAGGGAAAAAGGAAAAACAAAGAATAATCAATATCTGGAGTTGTAGACATGTTTGAATTTCTACATATTTTAAACAGAATAGAGAACAAAAGGGCAACTTTAAAATTATAAATTTCACGGAGGGCAACAAAAGCTGAAAGAGAAAGAAGGAGAGGAGTGAAACAACAAAATCTGAGAGAAATAACTTACCGGAGTGAGCTCTGATGGGGGAAAGAAGGAAACAACAAAAGCTGAGAGAGAGAAAAGAGAGAGAGAGAGTTTTAAATTTGAAATCAAGAAACCTACGCACTTTAAAATACCATTGCACTGAAGAAATCAAGAAACCTGTTAATCACTTGAAGATACAAAGCAAGCAAGAGAGATGTGATATAGGATTTATGGATACAATCATGGAATTAATTTTCTTAAATAAACCTGATGAAAAGTGCAATAAAATAGAAGCACAAATGACAATTCAATTAAAAAAGAATGCATGGATAGTTTTTTTTTTTTATTATTTAAGCTTTAAATTTTGGTTCCCCCATGACTAAAAGGATATATTATATTAGAAGTCCTATTGAAATTAAGTTGCCAAACTATAAAACAATATGTGCAACATATGGATTGTGTTGAGCCATGATACCACTATCAATCATCCCATAAAAACAAATTGAATTAATGATTGGGATCCATTCCACTAATGTAAAGATGATGATAAGATAAACAAATTTACTTATCACACTATTACTCGTTTGTAAATGGGCATTAGACGTTAAAAAAAAAAATTAATATCACGGTGATATCATATTAAAAAAAATTGATCATATCATTGAATTTTTATTTTGTGGATGATGCAGCCATTTTATTGTTCTTGGTTACATTGTTTTATCAAGAGTTGTGCCCCGTTTGGGAATTCAAACTCAAATTTGGAAGAATTGTTAAATACTCTGTTATCCTCAAATGCTGTACAATTCTATGAACCAAACATCTTTGAGGGAAACAAAAAAGAATAATGAAATTGTGAGTTAACATAGCTGAAAAACAACAAAGGAATTGGTGACTTGTTTCCTTAATGAAATTGTGCTGTTTCACATTTTTACATCAGATAAAATTGTTACAAAATCTAAATCTTTAATATCAAACACAGAAATTAACAATTTTTATACTGGAATGCAATATTTCAAATAAGATAAATTAGAAATCAAGAAATTTACTGAAATCAATGTATCAAATCCAAAAACTGAGAGCGAAGACTTACTGTCTCGAGGATAAGAACTGAACCGAAACTTCACTGATACAATGATGCTTCCTCGACAATGTTGAAATTTCCTGTTAAAAATAAAATAAAAATTGTTGAAATTTCGGAGGGAGGGTAACACCATAATAATTGAATCTCATTCTCTACGCCAAGTCTGGCAATGGTAAGGAAGATCGAAGGTGCTGTGATTGTGTGAAACCACATTTATAAATTGAAGGCTTTATGGGTACTTTTTTCCGGGGAAAAATTTGTACACACAATAACATGAATATAAACAACAACAATAACATCAAATCAAATATAATCGAATTCCACAATGAACTAAAAAAAACCACTAAAATTAACCAAACAACATCAGAAATCGCAATTATTCATATGTAGATACAATTAAAAAATAGACACAGCCCGTCAGAAAGAGAGAGAGAGGCAGGACACGATGAACTCAAAAAAAAAAACCTAAAATTAACCAAACAGTATCAGAAATCGCAATAATAAAAAAAACACACAGCCCAACAGAGAGAGAAGGGGATAAGTAGAAACCGAGGACTACCTTGCGAGCCGAGTTCGAGATGCAGAAATCGAGGACTGGAGATTTCCTCACTATCAAGTGAACATCTTCATTTGCTCTATGGGTATATTTTTAAACTTGGAGAGTTTATGTATTTTCGAGTTAAATCACAAGGAGTTAAAATATAATTAATCCTTTTATTTAACATCTGAATTAAAAAAAGAAAATGTAAAAAATTAAGTAACATCAATGACACCAAATAAAGAAGACATACCAAGAGTTTTGATGTATTATCGAGGCCGATTGATTTTTAGAACTAGTACCTTTCAATTCTTTTGTTGCACATATATACAAATTACAAACAAAGAATTGAGTCTATTTTTGAAAATATTAAAAACGTGAAAGCAAAGAAAATTCAAGAATGAGATTAAGGAAGAAATGTGCACTTAAAGTAATAAGAGTATTAAAAATACCAGGTTCATAAATGATTTGCGACATTGTCATACTATATACCATTATATTGCTCTTTGTTTCTATAATTCTCCACTCAATATGAAAAATCGCAAAATTCAAATAAAACCCCAATTTGAATACCAATTTCAACCTCTACAAGCTTCTTCAAGATGGTGCAATGGTCTTATTGAAAAGAATTGGTCACACATATACATCATTGCCTAAAGTGAAGTTAAATCGCATAAGACAAAATTCAAAAGGCCACCCTACAAACAGAAAGCATATTATTTGCCATGATACTCGCATTATAAATATGCCATATATTTACAATTAAATAAAAAGAACAAACGAGACACTTTGGATGGAATTAAAGACAAACAAATTGGATAGGAAAAAATTAAAGGAGACAAACAACAATTCATCAAAAACCTAACATGAGCTACCATATGTGATAGCTTTGCTGCATAAAGAGCACCAATTGGGAAAATGTTACATAGTATATTTGTTGTTATATGGTATTCGGAAAATGTTATATTGTTGTAATTGAGAAGGAGGAGGAAAAAAAAAGTGGAAACAGACAAGAACTAAACTACCTAAGGGATTCATAAGATTTCAGTGGTATATTTGTTCAGTCTACAATACAAAATAAATTTACTAAAAGTAACCCTCACTCATATAGCCTGGGCCAATCATAAAACCAAGTACTCTTAGTGTAAGAAATGAATTTATTTCAACATTATTGAAAATATGCTTTTTTTTCTTTTTTCATCAAATAGGCAAAGGAATTGCAATTTTGGGGTGTGTACAGACATATTCACAATCACTCTTAATGAATAAGCATCTCTACTCGACCTTTCTAAGAAAATTTAAAAACGAGTTAGTCAATGTCCACAAATTTTTTTCCTTCACCAAAATTATTTCAAATAACCTTACAAATCAAACATGGAGAGGTAATCTGAATGGACATGAATATTTGTAAATAAATAGAACAAATTGCAGAACATGAAAATTAAACCCTACAAATCCACACATTTATGATAAATTGATAATAGATTTGTAATACATATTTTTTGTGTTTTAGCAAATGATGGACGAATTCTCAACCAGAAAGCACCAAACTTAAAGCCCAAAAAACCAAACTGTATGGAAGCCCAACAAGCTAAAATCTAGACTTCATTACCCAGGACCATATAGCAATTTGAAGGAGTGCTTCACACCTTTATTAGAAGATGAATTCTTAGAGTATATCTAAATGGTAAAGCAGTAGACCTCCGAACAAGATGATTAATCAATTATTTTCATTATAAGTATGGCTCATATTATATTAACTTTGAATTTATATCATATACCTTTAGAATAAAAAATTTAAAGAAATTATTTTTTTTATTATTTATACATGAAGGGCCCTAATTTTAAGATTTCACCTTGGGTTTCAAAAATCTCAAGGCCAACCTTACAATGGTGCGAGTATAGTTTGATGATAGTATTAAATGGACGATGATGGTGGCAATGGTAGGTGGAAGGTTATGGTAGTTAGTGGACGATTACAATAATGGTGATAGTGGTGTGAACTTTTTAGAGAAATGGTGTGGAAAAATAGCGAGAGAATGTGAAAAGGTTAAAAAATCACTATCCTATTTAAGTCACATTATCTTATTTAAGTCACATCACTTTTCTACCGCATTACTTCAAATCTAACCTATATTTCATAAAAAGTCAAAAAGTACACTTATTTAGAACATTCTAAACAACCCCTTATTAATACATTCAAAAAAAAGTCAACATGGCTTAGGTATTGAATCCGCTTAATAGGTTTTACTAACTTTATTATTTTGTATGCATGGGAGTTAATTTAATTTAATTTATTTATTTTTTTCAAGAATCATCAACAGCATATATATATATACAAAAATGCCTAAGACCCCTAGTGGGGGTCACTGGGGGTCATATACGGAGGCTTCCCATTGGTCAAAAAAAAAAACTATTTTTTTTTTTTTTGTGATTTGGACGAATGGCACGCTGCAGCCAAAAATGTTTAGGATCAATCAATCGACCTACAAAGGTTAGATGATTTTTCATAAAATTACTTAAGAGAAATTATGTAGTATACCCAAACAAATATAGCCTTAAATAGTATATCAAAAAAAAATAAAAATAAATAAATAGTGTGTGGTTTAACTCGGTTACAGTCGAATTCACATGTGAAGTGAATTTAAAACATACATTACTTTATTAACATTTGTTTTGTGTTTGAATTCTTGGTCTATATATTATTTTTCTTAGTATTTTTTAACGTATGAAGTAGCTGACATTACTTGATAAGCCACTTTGTAGGTAAATCACCTCAATTTTGTAATTAAAAAGCAACTAATATGCTATTTCCAATATTTTTTATTTATCCATTAAATTAAAGCTACCCTTAATAAAATAAGGGGAGAAATTATGGGAAGTGGTCAATGTATACGTCCCAAAAAAAAAATAATAATAATAATAATTGGAAAAAGAATTCACACCAATAAAAAAAATATCTTCTAATTTTATATGTAATGATAAGCCACTTTATTACAAATTCAATCATGTAACTCAACTCCATTGCGATGTCATTGCAAATGAATTGTAAATTCCAAAGTGCAAGTCTTTAAAATTAATCTGGAAGAGTTACCCTCTATCTTTCGTAAACAAAATTCTTGTTCTTTCAATTAAAATTTGCCAAGAAATAGATAATTAAATGTGTTGCTAATAATAAATTTAAATATCTAAAATAAAACATCATTTTCTATTTCTTAAATACGACAATAATTAAAATAAATTATTAAAACTAAAATAAAACATCATTTTCTTAGATAATTGGAAAGATCCCAAAACTAAATTAAATACGACAATAATTCCATGTACGCATAAAAATCAGAAAAACATGCATACAAAATTAATATGCAAATTGATTCTATGTGAAGACTACAACCATAATGAATTTAAACCACATTAATTTTTCTATATATAAATTGTAGTGCTCTTAATAGTTCCATTCAGCAGAGAACCATTTGGGTCTAACCCCAAATAACACTTCAGCTACATATTTAGCAGTCCTTGCCGGTTCCTTAATGTTGTATTGGGATATTAAATTTGTGGAAAAATAAAAATAAAAAGAAAGAATAAGTGAACAAAGTAAAAACTCATTGCCAATCATGGGAAAAGAACACTTTATCTCTGATACATTTCAGACCCAAAAGTTTTTAAAAAATTAAATCCAAACCCATAAGCTACATAAAATAAAAATAAAAATAAAAATAAAAGTTGGGATAAGAATGTACAAACAGAACACCAAAAAAAAAAATGAAGTAATGTATGTTTTTTTTTTTTTATAAAAAAAAGACTGATAGAAAAATGCATTGTTAATTATTCTTATCAAAGTTGGGATAAGAATGCACAAACAGAACACCAAAAAAAAGAAATCCCTAAACACATCAATTTTTAGAAAGACAAAACCCATGGATACATCAGAACATTATCTCTGAGAAACATCATCTGCCGCCAACCCTCTCTTTCTCTCATCTCTCCTCTCTCCAGAAACGTTGAACTCTCTCTTCTCATCCTCTCTTAGATCAGATAAGCAGCAACGGTATGTCGATCCATCCATGGCAACGACGATGATGAGCGGTGGTAGCGGTGATGAGCAACAACGGTGCCCTATGAGATACATCTGCCCTACTCTCTCTCTCTCTCTCTCATCCTCTCTTAGATCAGATAAGCAGCAAAGTAGCAGCGGTGGAGATGACCGAAGGAAGTGGCGTTGTGCGTTGGTGATGACTGGAGGAAGTGATGAGCAGCACCATGGCTGGGTCGCGAGAGAGTCGTCGAAAAGAGAAATTCGATGAGCGTGTGTGGGAAGTAAGGTTATGAGAGAGAGAGAGAGAGAGAAAGAGGGTGTTTTGAAAGACTGAAAGGCAAAGAGAGATGAGTTTATAGAGAGAGTTTGAAGAGCATGGGTCTCTCTTCTATAGAGAGTGGGTGGGTGGGTGAGACCGATGAGGATACGTGGGTGAGTTTGAAGTGTGGCTCTTGGGCCGGAAGTTGAGGATGAGTGAGAGAGAATGTTTCATCTCTACTGTCCATCTTGAAGAAGAAATAAATCATGACTGTTAAAATGTCTTAATTGGACAATTATCTCTAGGATAAATTCAAAAATCCTCTTTCCATATTATATAGATATTAGATAGAAAAATCATTTACACAACGAACTACAATCATGTGCCGACTTTACTAAAGACCATCGACTTTTTGAATCGAAATAAAAAATAAAAAAAAGACGATCGACTTTGTATACAATAAGAAAATTAAAATATCTACTAGTAAAACATGTCATCTATTACTGTTGTTGAATTCCAATTTGAATTGGACATTTATCACCCCTTGGGAATGAGTACAAATTGCAATACTAAGATTTCGTCTCGGAAGATGAGTTGGGTTGATTTTGGAATTATTTAAGTTATAAAAAGATAAAATAAATTTTTTAGTTTAATAAGATAAAATATCACATATAACTTATAATCATTACATCCTTTCTTTTCAAAAAAAAGTTTAAAAAATCAAAAAATCTTTCTCAAACAAAACTTTTTAATCTTAAACTAAAATAATTAAAAAATCAAAAATCAAAAAGCTGTAGTGACTACTG